TTCCCAAAAAGTGCCTTGAAAACCTCTACTAGATCTGCGGTGAATAACTGCAGTAGCATTGCGACTCCCTGTCGGACGCCCCCTTCGATTTTGAATTTGCTTGTGCTTTCGTGAAGTTCACATTGTGTTGTGTTCTTTGCACTTGTGCTCTTGCCAATCATGAAGATGAGGTAATTGTATGTTTTCTCGATTCCCTGTCTCCTCAAGGAATGCAGTACCGAACCGGTGTACTGTGAGTCAAATAGACGAACCTTAGGCAGAAAGGAATCTGATATCCGTTGCTTCTCTGAATTTATTGTTTTACCACCTGGAGATGATGCATCGTACTAGATCCACGTCTGAATTCTACTTACTCTTTTGCCTGCGCAGCGTCCAGTTTTTCTTGAAATCTGTTCGTCAGTACCTTTGTGAAGCTCTGATAACTGATGACGGGTAACAAACGCATCGGCCTATAAATCTTTAAAACCTGTGTGTCTCTTTTTCCGTGGAGTAGAATTCTCAAATGTCGTAGTTCAGTCGTCTGCAATTTTCACTTCGTTCAAGCAGCGTGGAAACAAGTGCGCTGATATTTTGGCTAGTGTTTCATCGCCGCAGTTCACGATTTCACTTGGATGTGGTATCCGCCAACAGCCCTTCCTCTGTTTGCCTGTCTTATTGCCTGTCACACTTCTGGTAAGATATGTGAAATTTCGTCAAGGTCATTTGTGCCTTTAAGTTCTTTATCATTACCAGTGGTGTTGCTGCCTCATCTTTGTAGAGTTTCTATAGAAATCTTCCACTTTCTTTAGAATGTTCTGCTTATCCCTGAAGCAGTCGTTTTCTGCGTTGAGAGCTAAAATTTGTTGTTTTTCGACTGTCCATCTTTGATTTATTTTCTTAATACTGCGATTGTCTGAATAATTTCATTTACAAATCTACATTTTAATGCTTGGATGTCTTTTTTGTCAGTTTTCTTAAAGTTTTGCATAGTTCCATGCATTCAGTCTGATTTCAGATCTGTGCCTCTCTTTATTTCTTTCCCTTCTTTATGAGTTATTTCGTTTGCATCGTCATTTTCCGTCGACCTTCATAATCTTTGTTTCGCATATGTTTTTCGCCGTTTCTGTAACTGTCTTCCTTATATTCTGAAGCATTATGTTAATGTACACTGCTTCGTTTTGCATTCTGAACGTCGAATTTGTTATTTAATTTGAGTTAGAGGTTCATTTTAGAGTTTCCACATCGAGTATCTTGCGTTTCGTTGCCAGCAGTTCCTTATTTTTGAAGTTTTCCAGCTAACAAGCTTGTGATCGTTTCCCACATTGAACCTGTTCAGGATCACGACGTCTGCACTCTGTTCTTCATGTTGCTGAAGATGATGCCATATACAAGGACAAAACATCAGTCGCTCAAAGAATTGTACCATGGGATCCCAACAGCGGACACCACCGCTCCGGTGGTCAGCCTTGAATTTGAAAATATTGACTGAAAGCAGACGTGCAGTCGTTTGGGAATATTTCCTTCGCAGATGCAGCAAACATGCTTAAAATTACGACTCCCCTGTTGTCTAATGGGCATAACAGATTAAGCATTACGGTCGTGCTATGAAGCTTAATTAACGATGGTGCACGCATTCGGCAGTAAAAGGTGTTTTATAGATGACGCTACAGAGTTCATATCACTGTAATTAAATTAAGAGTTACAAAATCATCAGTGACATTTATTAGTTTTGTGTTGATTGAGGAAGTGAACTACTACGGTTAAATCCGGATTAAGTCTCGCGATGATTTTGCATGACAGTGTGTTAGACAGACTGGAGTAAAAGTCAAGTTGGTTGTAGTTACCCTTAGTTTAAAAGAAAAAGCTTCATTGCTACCGGATTCATGGTTTAGTAACGAAGACATGGGCGCAGATTTTTTCAGTTCAATACAGAACTCCTCACGGGTCAGTCATGGAGTGACGCTGAAAGTCAGCGGTAACGACAGTTGTGTATAAATGGCTTGTGTCATTTATACATTTTGAATGTGCGATTTAAACGGAACATAAATTGATTACATGACAGTCTCGTTTTCCTTCTGGACGAAGGAAGATTTGATATGCAATTCTGGGCAGTGTTACCATGCAAATTTCCATCGTCTTGGCCGTATTATTGCAAGACTTGTTTCTTTTCTTCTTAAAACAGTATTCATTGCATGTGACATACTGAGATCTCTTTATTTTTTGAAAATTGTCTTTCTTTAGAATGAAGCGAAATTTTTTACTCGCAACTACATAGAATGATTTGTGATCGTAGCCACGCCCTGCATTTCTGACTTATCCATATTAAATATGAATTCCGGTAAGTATGCATGTGATAATTAGCAATATGGTTTAACTGACTATTTAGCAAGAATTGTTTCGAACGTACGTTTTTGGCAGGCTTCCTTTTCGTTGTCACGGCGAGCGCTATGTGCACGCCGACAGCTGCACGACGACGTGACGTCTGTCACCGCCGTGTCGGACAGTAATGCAGGTCGGGAGCTGATGGTTAGCATTGTTGCCAAGTTACAAGAAAACGGTCACCAAGTGTTTCTGGATGAATCATTTTACGAGCGCAGTGCCATACCTATGCTGATTAGTAAAGGAGGAAACAAAGAGCTTATCTTCAACACTTTCACTACGAATGCGCCATCACTCCTCGGTACAGATGTTCACGAGTTTATTAGCTTCATTTCGCTGTTGGAAGGCTTCGGATTGACTATCGACGAATCCCTAGGAATTGCCGCTGAAAACCCGGAGATCGTTAAAGTGAGTGATCGTTCAATTTTTCATTTGTGAATTAGCTCTTCTCCTATCACTTCTTCAACTTCACACGCATAATCACACCATCTTTTTGCTTTTAGTAGCTAAAAAACCGTTTAGTCGGCCACGGCTCTATGGTGTTTGAGCATCTGCGTTGCCAGTAGACTTTGATGTTTATGCGGTAGCATATAAGGCATATGGGCTTTTGAAACATCGTTCGTAATGAGTGCCATTTCACCCTAGCGGAAAAAATCATACGAGATGCCTCTGGCACTGTAGGTGTTCAGATACCATGGCGCCGTGGCCTACTTAAATGTGCCATCCCCCAGGCAACCTGGAGCAGAGGCGGTGCAGTACGCCGCGAAACTTTGAAAAATCTGATAGCGAGAAATGGTGCGCTGATGTATACTCTAATGCATACTTTTTTTTGAGATTTCAGTCAGCAAGTTATTTACTACTAAATCCTCAGAGACAACACTCATGGTAATTTCTCATTTGTCAGGATGAATTATGTGTACCTCTCTCTACAGCAATTTTTAAAATAAAACCGGCTTTCAGAGATAGTTTCAAATTATACTAGGATTTACAGCATTTCAAAAAGAGGCAGTCGTGCACTTTACCTGCAGAATCTCATATATTTAGTTTTCCTAATAACGTAATACTACATTTGTTCTTGTACCATAAATCAATCAGAATCTCAGAGTTGCCATTGGCTAGTAGAGTTCGGTTCTAAAAATTGACTGTTACTTCCATCAGAAATTACATCTTCGATAGAATATGTTGGAGACAGCGGAACCATTTCCCTGTGTATTGCGCTTTTGCGTCCGGCTAATCCTATGCGAACTGATGTCGAACCCTTGAATTTCTAGTGACTTCTGTTCATAGAAGCAATATGGAATATGTTAATAGGTCTAATTCAGCGAAATCGAATTAAATTTAATGGTTATAATATATAACATTTTAGACATCGTTTGGTTTGCAAAAACGAATCATAAATCTGCTGAATTCAGGACTGAAAGCGGTTGCGGTGAGAAAGATTCTGCGCAAATGCCCAAAAGTTCTTATCCTGGGGCCGGAAAGAATGGGTCGCCTGATTGCTGGAATCAGTTCTTTCTTCACCGCCAAACAAGTCAGTTATATGCTCGAGCAGTCGCCACAAATTTTGCTTTCGAATTTTGAAGAGTTAAAACAAAAGTATGAGTATATTTATTATATGATTGGTCTGGACAATACGCATGTGGCA